ACCCCTGTAATGGCCTATACAAGGAATCCTCTACCCAAAAGGGCTGCATTTTTCAGGCTTCGGCTATATAAAAAAGGAAGGGATTTTATTAGCTAAAAGGGATGTAGTGCTCCAAACTAGGCACGTGGAGGGGGTACCATTTATTAAGAAAATGTATACGAAAGGGGTACACAATTGGTATACAGTTGAGTGAGGGGTTGGAGCTCGGGGTGGAGTGGTAACCAACTACAGATGACTTCCGAGAACTCCCGAACCGTTTAGGGAAATCGAAAAAAGTTCGGGAAATAGGGAAATGGGATGGGGAATGAATGCAAGTAACATACCCACTTCAAAGATTAATAAATTCACAGAGCTGGACACAGTAAATAAAATGCGCTGACCAAAAAGTAAAGTCAAAGACTACATAGTTGTTATATTAATTTCGGACTGCAGTACTATTTTTTTTCGACTTGTCAGGTGCCTCAATCATGGTTTGAGTTATCGAGGGTAAATGTATATAGAAATGATCTAAAATTACTTCGAGTTAGCGGGAGGTTCGAGTTATCGAGGGCTCGAGTTACCTAGGGTAAAATTATAGTAAATGTATGAAGGAAATTCAGGGGGAAATCGATTTTAGTTCGAGTTACTTATTGCGAGGTTCGAGTTAGCGAGGGTTCGAGTCATCGGGACTCGAGTAAATTGCAAAAGACCTATTTTCACTTAGCTTTATTTTGAAAGTGAGAGTTTTTGGAACTCAGAAAGGGCCTACTAGGTCACCTAGTTACTTATTGCGAGGTTCGAGTTAGCGAGGGTTCGAGTCATCGGGACTCGAGTAAATTGCACAAGGCCTATTTTCACTTAGCTTCGTTTTAAAAGTGAGAGTTTTTGGAACTCAGAAGGGGCCTACTAGGTCACCTGATTAGTCACTTCACTTTTAAGAACCTTTGACCCTTCAAAGGACAGAATACAAAGCATTAAAACAAACAACAACAACAAAAAGAAACAAAAAACAAAGATAATGAAAAAATAAATGTTAATGACAGTAATGACTTTCACAATTGTAATCAGATCACTAAACGACAAGTATGCGGACCAAAGTCATAGCTGGCTTTGAAAATAATTAATGATATTAGTTAAAACCGGCAAACAATGCAAAGAATTGAATGGAAGTATTTTCTCTCGAGAAAGTTGAGGCTCGCTGCTGTGTAGTGTTCCGAATTCTTTGTTGTTTCCATGCTGTCTTCTTCTTCGTTTTTTTTTTTTTCTCAGAACGAATCTTACAAGAACGTGATCACAATGACGTAGATCGCAACGTGAAGTGTCCAAAAAAGGTAAACACCTCCGTAGCTGCAGGATGGTTTTATTGGGAATGATAGGAAACAGGTGGAATGTGAAAAAAGTTGTCTTCGACGGGCGGGGAAGCTGGCCCTATAACAAGAAAAGGTTTTAGTAAAAACGTCAAACTGGGACAACAAACGGTGGCATTAGGGGTGGACGAAGTATACTAAATAACAGAATGGAATTAATTTAAATACTTATTTATTTATGTATTTATTTATTCATTCATGATTGAGAGCCTGGAAGAGGCTCTCCTCTAAAAAGTGAAAAGAAAAGTGCGCTCCTGATGGGTCTTGGCGGTATTCTCCGCCAAACGAACGTTCATTCGGCTTGCCTTGAGACTGGTGTGTGTATCATGACTTGAGTTATCTTTTAACGCGTGTGTCTTGTAATTAAAGAGTCATTAAGGCTTTTTTTACCTCCAATGCTCACGTCCTTTCATGCAATCGCAATATATGATGGAATATCGTTTCCATTATTATACCAGCTATTCTAGGCACTGAAATCTGCTAATCCACCAATATAAACTGCAAGCACTTATGACGAGAAGGTTTTAAAAACGTTCGCTCTCTTATACAGCTAAAATGCATCTCATTTTCGCTTCAGTTAGTAGTTACTTGTTTCGGTTTTAGTTACTATATTGTTTGTTTGTTTGTTATTTACTTAATCCTTGGCAACCACTATTGTCTTGTAAAAAAGTGACCTGGCTCACTCCTTACAAAGTTAGAACTAAAGTGTGTTTTATACCTGGTAACAACTACTTTTAAAGCGCGCGAGGCCATGTTGAGGGACAACTTAGCAGTGGCCTGAATTTTTAGAAAAAAAATTACTTTGAAAATTTTTTTGCCAACTTATCAGAGGGACGCTTTAACAACAGAGATGTCGCGTGCTGCTGTTAGATAATGTTGCGTGAGTGTAATTAATTTTACAGACGACTGAGCGTTATTGATTGCCATCAATTTTTGCAACGATCATAAAACGGTCTAAATTGCCATACAGGCCTTTTGAAAGGCAGAGCCTAAAGCGCCTCCCAAGTTGTAGGAATGTTTTCTTCGAGAAAAACGAGGCTTTTCGAAATATTTACAAGCTGCTTTATTTGTCTCGCTTTTGGAATGACACTTGCAAATAGTCAAGGTAAGAGTATAACATTGAGGTGAAGCATTTTTGTTTTATATCAGCTTTTTAGAATACAGAGCATTTTTCCTGATTTTTATTAACAAAATTGCGATGCGTAAGTTTGCTAAAAGTAATACTTCAAATATGACACTAATCAAGATTACTGCCGTATGGACTACCCTTTAGTAAAGAATTAAACAAATTATGTAAGAAAAAAGAACGTAAATTTTAAGCCTTTATAAGTGTATCTCTAGTTTGAAACTGTGTAGCATAGGCTACGTGGGACGAGACCATGATAGATTCATGACTATGCCTATAGAATTTCACTCTCTTAACTAGCACATGAAAATTAAGCTTTATTCTTCCTCTGTCCATGGACAGGATAATATCCTATATTATTACTTGCTTTATACACACTTTTTTTAACCAATGAAAAGTTGCGTTATATATTTTTGATATTTTACATTAAGAAACAATTTTAAGTCCACTTTTTCTACAAATATGACTTGACCGATATAGGCCACGAGTAGACCTTTCTGTTTTCGAACTTTGAATTTGTGATGTACATTATACGCCACTGACACTAACGCGTAATCGTTCGTAATCCTTAGGATGTATGAAGAGGCTATATCACGTGATTTTCTCACGATTTGAAGCTCACTCCCCTACTCAGTTTCTATAATGTAAAACTTACTTCCATTCTAGTGGCACATTTTATTTTAAGCTCAGTTGCTATGGCAATGACTCCCAAGAACTGAAGTATTAAAATGAAAGAAAAATAAATGTATTTCCATCAAGCCCTAGATTAGATTTGTTTAAAAGGTATTAATAAGAGAAGAGTGACATCCGTAGAAATTCCTTATAGGTCATGAAAGACCTTTAAAAAAGGACGTCTTGTATTGCACTGTAGACACTTTTGCATACATTTTCATGTTGGATATTGGCTTTGAAAAATAAGACAATTCCTAATCTTTCTTTTATTTCCTCTGGTCGCAGCATCCTTTTAGAAGCATGTCACACCATCTTGCTATACCAGAATTTAAGTTATAGTTATATGTTACTGTCAATTCAGCTAAATATCTGCACACACAGGAAAACGTACAACAACTAAAAAACGTGAAAATGTAAACTAGACAGATTTTAAAACAAACTACACCATGTAGCTTCCAATTTCTAGACTTTTTCGGTTAGCCTTTTCATGTGAAGATTACCATTTTGTTTTGTTTTGTTTTGTTTTTTTAGTATATATTCATAGATTTAAGTATTGGTTGAAAAACGGAAGTCCGTATCGTAAGATATGGTTGAGGTTTTAGAACGAAAATATTTGGCGAAATTATTTATTCATATTTTTGATACGTAATGATCCAGGGCCGGTAATAAAATCATAGCTGCAGGCGGGCATTGTCTATGACTAGGCATGAATTTTTGAAGCCTTAAGGCAGGGTTTGCCTATTTAGCATTTCTTCTAAACCTCAGCCCATAAAAAAAGGTTAAAAAAAAAGGTTTAATGGCTTGTTCAAAGTGGAAAGTGCACTTAGCTCATCCAGTTAGTTTACAGGCACTCCACTCAGTAAATCCAGCGAGTCACCAGAGCGGGACTCGAACCCGGGACCGCCGGATTGCAAGTCCGACGCGCGACCACTCGGCCACTCTGCTACTTATAACCCATACCTAACATGGGAAAAAAGTAACACCTCAAGTTAACAAACTAAAAGTATTATGGCGCTCTTTAAAGTTTAAAACTCTCGTAATGAGATATTATGGATAGATCAAAGCTGTTAATCTATCTTTTTCTTTTTCTCTGCGTCAATATCTCTTTATCAGGAACCACCAAGGTCACATACGATGGAAAAGTATATAGACGGGTTTTCTTTTTAAACAGTTCACTTTTTATAACTTCGAAAAAAGAAATGCTCCTGGGGTCAACATTACCGGGAAATTATTCGTAGTGAAATAAATATAACGTAAACTTTTTGCAATATCTCTACACACGTAACAAAGATTGTCTTATGCAGTCTGGCTAAATGGAAACCACTCTTGCAAAACAGAAGTTCCAGATATTGCAGATTATTTGGTGTCGATATCGTCAATATCGAGCATGTGGTGGGGTCCTCCACATTAATGCCTTCTTAATTCTGCCGGAATTAAAATAGATAACCACACAAAAGAATATACATCCGGAATATACTTAAGAGAAGGTATACAATTACACGCAATAACCACAAATGCTATAAACTTGACTATGGACAGGTTATGGGTTGTCTTAATATGTTAGCTCAAATGAAAACATGTTAACAATCCGTGTCCGCGCCTAAAGAATGAAATCATTGTGTTCCACGCTGAGTCATACTCTATTTCTACTTTTTGCCAAACAATGACCTAAATTGATAGGGGAAAATTTTTTAAATGATAAATCAAGGGACGTGAAAAAAAAAAAGATAATAATAAAATAATAATAATAATAATAATAATAATAATAAACAAACAAACAAACAAAAAAATATACAGTGTAAATATGCTCTCTTTCGTCAGATGCCTGTTCTTTGAGACCATGCCAAAATGGAGGAAACTGTACGGTTGACAGCAGTAGCAGCTACATCTGTGAATGTCCTTTGGGAATTGGCGGCCAAAACTGTACCGAAGGTATCAATTATTGTTCTTGAAATACATTTAACCATGCAGCCGTTATTCAACTTACATGTAGTTTGACACGATGAGTGTCGTTAGTTATGTGATTGACTCTACCGTTCAGGAAATCGGAACAATATCTACAAAAAGGGACAAAAGTGTTGAGACACTTCCATATAGAAATATCCATCCCCTCCCCCTGTGTTACCTTACTCCTCCCCCAAGTTAATTATTTTTATTTTCGACTCCAGATTCTTTCTTCAACTACAAACAACATTGATTCGGGTGTTGAGGGATTAACGGCCTTTAAGCAAAGTTGTGTAATGAATGAAATTGTCCATAAAAGCTCGCGTTTTATAGAAGTCTGTCAACTGCTTTTTGTCACTGATTGTAGCCTCAAGGCAAAGGAAATTCTCGACACTTTAACCAATACTTTGTTTTAGTTAGTATATATATTTTCTTATGAGCTCTTTTTATGACTTGATGACTTGATAACGACGTAAGTGAAACCTCGAAACGTCGTTATTAACGAAGACGATTTTAAGCAGTATTTATAGCGAAATATCTTACGGTACGCTTAGCTGGAGGTCATTATTTAATTGCCCCAACAGACGTAGTGAACGAGTGTGATTCAGCACCTTGCAAACATGGTGGGAATTGTACAGACCGTCTCGGAAGGTTTGACTGTGAGTGTCCACAGGATTACGCTGGTCGCCAGTGTGAATTAGGTAAGACAAATTACGCTTTTCACCTTGCAACAAAAACTCAAGATCATGGCCATGACTTTAAAATGACGTTGCTCCGCAGAAAAGCTCATGTACCTTTTTTTTTTACTCGACCCCATAATACATTAATTACCTAAACCAACGTCAAAAGCGAAGTTCTCGAGCGATCTTTGCACAGATAACTTTCTGGAGTAATTCTCCTTTGTCATAAGCGAGAAGCAAACTGAATCCCTCCTGAATGAATGGACTTGAGCCAGCGATCAATTGAAATCTAAAAAACTAGTCAGCGTCACCTCAATAAATAAATTGTACACGTGAGCCCACTATTCAGTCGTGTCACACTGGTCAGCGGATTCGCAATTTTGACAGCTGTCAGTTGACCATAACATGGATGTCGATTATCAAGTTGCTGGGCATACATCTCGCGCTAACTACTTTACTTCACCTTTGTATTAATAGCTTGCGTTTCACAAACATTCAACCTTGTGTTCGTCGTTGACGGATCAGGAAGCATAGAGAACCAAGAAAAAGGAAACTTTCAGCGTGCAAAAGACTTCATTATTGAAATAGTAAAGTCTTTTAATATCGGAGAAGACGCAACACAAGTAGCACTAGTGCTTTACAATAGTAACCCGGAGGTTGTCTTTAAATTCAAAGACAACTTTGATGACATAGAGGAAGAGATCCAAGAAATGGATTACCCAGGCGGAGGTACCAATACAGGCAAAGCACTAGACAAAGTACGCAATTATGTCTTTAAAAAACTGAAGAAAAATCGCGAAGATCTTCCAAAGGTCGTTGTGGTAGTGACTGACGGACGTTCTCAAGATAACGTATCAGTACCCGCTCAGCAGCTTCGCGATGATGGTGCAACTATTATCAGTCTTGGGGTTGGTTGCTGCTTTGACGAGGATGAACTTAACGAAATGGCTACTGATCCCGATGAAAAGCACGTTTTAGAGGCCAGTTTTTCAGAATTGGAGAAATTTAAAGATGCAATGAAACAACAAATTTGCTCTGGTGAGTTACCTGCTAGAATATCTTGTACTCTACACTGTATATAACACTGGACAGCCAAATCATCAAGCGTTCACCTTTTCCAAATTTGAGGTACTGTAGGTTTCACAATTCTCCTTTTTATGTTGGTTGGCTGTTTATTTGTACTTGCACGGGGAGGAAAGGAAGAGAGGGTTTTTTGCAAACAAACGTGGCCCGTTACATTATCAACCTAATCATATGGAAAAAGGTATGCACCGTCTGGCCTCATAATTTTTGTCATTTTCATCAACAACGCTAAAGTCGTCATCGTTTATATCATCATTATCGTCATCGTTTCCCTCGTGATTATTGCTATCATCATCATCATCATCATCATCATCATCATCATCATCATCGTCATAAATGAGGGGTCATGTAACAACTGCTCGGAAGAGAAGTCACCGATGGTGCGTTTCTCTGATCCCAAACAATACTAAAACAATTTTCAGAATGGCATGTCAGTGTTTTCTGCAACCAATTAGGAGTGACCTTACGGGCAGCTCCTACACGACTCTAAAAAGAGCATTAGAAGAGATAAGGTGCAAGCGGCAGTCACGAGGCATCGCAGCTTTTAATGACGTTTTATGTCCTTGTGTACTGATATGTAAGTCCTTTTTATTTGATATTTTTAGCGGTTGACTTTTGCTCCAGTAACCCTTGCCTGAATAACGGGACATGTACCAGTTTAACAAGTGATTTTCAATGTCAATGTACACCTGGTTGGCAAGGAAAAGACTGCCGCAATGGTTGGTACTACATGTCTATAAACAACTAATCCGTGTCAACCTCACGGGATTAATCTTCCCTTTAACTCTGCTATTTGTTTGTTTTTGTTCGTTTAGATATCGATGAGTGTGCTATTAACAGCACTCAGTGCGGAGATAACCAAGTTTGTCATAACTTCCCTGGCGGATTTACATGTCTTGGTAGGTCAGCGGTTACCGACCGGAATGGTTGCGAATTTTGAACCACCGTGTTAAAAATAAGATAAGTTTAAGTAACTAAAATTGTAATTTAATCAAAGAGCATGCCAATAGTTTCACTATATCTTGCCCTTCTCCATTTATCCTGTTAATCTGATATTTAAAATAATCTGTAAAATAATATGTAGATTTAGCCAGGGCTAAAAGCGAAGCTCTCGATAACATACATAGTTTGTTCAAACAAAATATAAAATCGTGTAATGCTAAACGGCGAAGGCAACGCCGGAGAACGGTGAAAAAAACAACAATAGGTCTAATTAGCAAAAAAGCAACTTTGCACGTGCAGCACACTTTTTTACATTTGTTTGCCGTTGTTTTGCACGACCACAACGTGAAACTTCCAGAAACTTTTTTATGTAGGAAATGTCGTACGTGTTCTCGTTCACTTTTTTTTCACTGCCGCTCATTTTCTCCTTGTATTGGTGGCCGCTAGCATTTCTCATTTTGTCACCGCCGCTACAAAATTTTCATGTTGTTCTTCCAACAAAAAAATGTCTCCTTTGCTTTTTATCTCTCGCTCTAGAATTCTGTTGCCCTTTTTCTCGTTGAGTTTCGCTGGCTGCCGCTTTTTCTCTTTTTCTCCGTCTTTCTCTTACTTTATATTCCAAATTTGTGGACATGACAATTAATCTAAGCTTACTACTTTAGAAAACACGGATACAGAAACATTTTCCGCTTTCCGGTTTCGTCTTTATTGACTCTGCTTTATAAGGCGCGGGTGGCTATGCGATTTCCCGCCAAAATAATCTCGAGTTCCATTTTGGTTGCCATACTTGTTGATTGAGTTATTTCACACTGGTATGCCTGTGGTTTGGACGGACGGTCGGGCTACGGTCACGTGATTACCAAATTTTCTCGGATGGGTAGATTACCACATTTTCTTACCCATGGCGCTCCGCTGCGCGCGCTTCGCGCCCGAGAGCTCCGCTATAAATGGCGTGTAATGGAGAAAACAATAAAATTAAATGAAATTGAATAAATCTAACAATTGCCACGGTAATAACTGTTCTATCCGTAAGTAATATAGTACCTTCATACATCTCCCCGGAATTCGAATCTTTACTTTAATAAATGGAAGCAAAAATAATCTTTAAAGGTTTTAAACTAAACGTTTTAATTTTCACTGATTTCTCACTTAATTAAGATCGGAAAAGGTTGTTATATTGTCATTTATTATGAAGCAAAAATGTGTTAAAATCTAGGAGAACAGTGAGACACATAGTGACAGATGAAGAGAAGAGATTGCTCGTTACAGTGCAACAGAATGTAAATATCTCTGTGAAAAATAAATAAATAGATAAATAAATAAAAACAATATACAGTGTAAATATATCCTCTTTCATCAGACGCCTGTTCTTTGAGACCATGCCAAAATGGAGGAAACTGCACGGTTAACGACAGTACCAGCTACATCTGTGAATGTCCTTGGGGAATTGGAGGCCAGAACTGTACCGAAGGTATCAGCTATTGTCCTTGAAATATATTTAACCATTCAGCTTACGTAGTTTAATACGATGAGTTTGCTTAGTCATGCAACTGATACTTCCTTAAAAGAACTTGGAACAATATCGAAAAATTGAGGGACAGAAGTGATGGGACACTTCCCTATAGAAATGTCCATCCCCTACCCTTGTGTTACCCTGTGTTACCCCCCTGTGCATGACTGGGTGTGCTGCAGCATACCTAACATCAAAGTTCATAGAAAGATTGGCCGTTTCGACAAGGACAACCAGGAACTCGAACATGTTGAGAATACTTCTCTTCTGCACCAGCACAAATTCACTGCGCTGTTTTTTTAGCGCACACAGAACGAGCACAGCACCTATCTACTGAAAATGGCCAGCACTGCCCTTTGCAGATCAGAAATTTAGATTTAGATTCCGCACTGCCAGTGGCCAAAGGTCCTTCGAATATAGAGGGACGTGCCTTTGGAATAAGTTGCAACCAGAGGTCAAGCTAAGCGAATCCGTTAAAAGTTTTAATTGTCAACTTAGACGACTCTTTCTGGACACCACCTTTAGTTAGTTAAATATTTTTCGTGTTTTTAGCTTTCTGTGTTTAATATTATTACTGTAACATTGACTCTCAAAAGCCCTGAGGGGACGAGCCAATAAAATATGTATGTCTGCATGTACCCTACTCCTCCCCAAAGCAATGTTGTACTTTCGACCGTCGATTTTTTATTCTGAACTGTATTAGCATTGATTCGGGAGATGGGAGATTGACGGCCTTTAAGATAACTTGTTTGATAAATTAAACTGTCCATAAAAGCGTTTTACCAATATTGATATCTGCGCTATATAAGTATTATTATTGTTATTATTATTATTATCATTATTATTATTATTATTATTATTATTATTATTATTATTATTATTATTATCATTATTTTTATCATTATTATTATTATTATTATTTTACACAAGTCTGTCAACTGCTCTTTGTTACTGATTGTAGCCACAAGCCTAAAGAATTTCTCAACACTTTAACTAGTACTTTGTTTTATCAGTTGTATTAATATTTTCTTATCAGCTACTTTTATGGCTTGTTAATGATGTTACAAGGAACCATAAAACTTAGTTTCTAACGAAAACGATTTTAGGCAGTATTTATAGCGAAATATCTTACGGTACCTTTAGCTGGAGCTCATCATTTAATTGTCCCCAATAGACTTAGTGAATGATTGTGATTCATCACCTTGCATACATGGTGGGACTTGTACTGACGGCTTCGGAAGGTTTGATTGTGAGTGTCCGCAGGATTACGCTGGTCGCCAGTGTGAATTAGGTATGGTAAATTACGCTTTTTATCTTGTAACTAAAACTCAAGGTCAAGGCCATGACTTGAAAATTACGTTTCTTCGCAGAAATGGCCATTTACTTTGTTTTACTGGACCCTATAATATATTAATTAAAGCAAAGTCAAAAGCGAAGTGCTCGTGGGATCTTTGAAGAAATGTCTGTCTGGAGTCAATAATTAAAAACTCATTCGTCATAAGAAAGAAGGAAACTGAAGCTTTCCTGAAAAACAATGGACTTGAGTCAGTAATCAATTGAAATTCAATAACTAGTCAGCATCTCCTCATTATAGAAATTACACCCGTAAGCCCACTACTCATGACTATGCAGGCGAGTTACACTGGTCAGCGAATACGATATTTAAACTGCTGTCAGTTGACCATAACATGGATATTCATTATCAAGTTAAACACATATTTTACTGATATGTCTAGCTCGAAAGTGTGACATTTCACATCCGCTAGCATATTGGGCTTACGGATGGGCGATTTTGTCGCAACCAAGATTTGTTGGTTGCGTAGATGACAAAATTTTATTGTAGGTGGTGTTCCATTACGCATGCGAATGGTATTAACTACTTTACTTCACTTTTGTATTAATAGCTTGTGTTTCACAAACATTTAACCTGGTGTTCGTCGTTGACGGATCAGGAAGCATAGAGGACCAAGAAAAAGGAAACTTTCAGCGTGCAAAAGACTTCATTATTGAAATAGTAAAGTCTTTTAACATCGAAGAAGACGCAACACAAGTAGCACTAGTACTTTACAATAGTAACCCGGACGTTGTCTTTGAATTCAAAGACAACTTTGATGACATAGAGGAAGAGATCCAAGAAATGGATTACCCAGGCGGAGGTACCAATACAGGCAAAGCACTAGACAAAGTACGCAATTATGTCTTTAAAAAATTGAAGAAAGATCGCGAAGATCTTCCAAAGGTCGTTGTGGTAGTGACTGACGGACGTTCTCAAGATAACGTAGCAGTACCGGCTCAGCAGCTTCGCGATGATGGTGCAACTATTATTAGTCTTGGGGTTGGTTGCTGCTTTGACGAGGATGAACTTAACGAAATGGCTACTGATCCCGATGAAAAACACGTTGTAGAAGCAAGTTTTTCAGAATTGGATAAATTCAAAGATGCAATGAAAGAACAGATTTGCGCTGGTGAGTTACCTGCTAGAATATCTTGGATTTTACTATGTGTTTAACACTAGACTCTTAATTCTTGTCATCTTTATCAACAACGCTAAGGGCATCATCTTTAATATCATCATTATCGTCAACGTTGTCGTCATTATTGTCATCATCATCATCATCATCATCGTCATCATTAAGAGCATTAGAAGAGATACGGTGGAAGCAGCAATCACGAGGCATCGCAGCTTTTAATTGCGTTTTGTTTCCTTGTGTACAGATATGTGAGTCCTTTTTATTTGTTATTTTTAGCGGTTGACTTTTGTTCCAGTAACCCTTGCCTGAATAACGGGACATGTACCAGTTTAACAAGTGATTTTCAATGTCAATGTACACCTGGTTGGCAAGGAAAAGACTGCGGCAACGGTTGGTACTACATGTCTTTAAACAACTAATCCGTGTCCACCTTGCAGGATTAATCTGCCTTTTTACTCTGCTATTTATTTGTGTTTGTTCTTTTAGATATCGATGAGTGTGCTATTAACAGCACTCAGTGCGGGAATAAACAAGTTTGTCATAACTTCCCTGGTGGATTTACATGCCTTGGTAGGTCAGCAGTTACCGAGTGGAATGGTTGCAATTTTGAACCACCGTGTTAAAAATAAAATAAGTTTAAGGAACTAAAATTGTCATTTAATTAAAGAGCATGCCAGTAGTTTCACTATTTATTGCCCTTCTCCATCTATTCTGGTAATCTGATATTTAAACTCAAATCTGTAAAATATAAATGGCTTGTAATTTAAAATACATGGAGAAAAAATTAAAATTAAATGAACATTAAATAAATGAATCTAACAATCGCCACGGCGATAACTATTCTATCCTTATGGTAATAATTATAGTGCCTTATTCATACATCGCCCCGGAATTCGACTCTTTAATTTAGAAATATTTTGGATGTGCATCAATTAAGGAGATAATAAATGGAAGCAAAAATAATCTTTAAAGGTTTTAAACTAAACGTTTTAATTCTCACTGATTTCTCACTGAGTTAAGATCGGAAAAGGTTGTTATATCGTTACTTGATATGAAGCAAAAAATGTGTTAAAATCTAGGAAAACAGTGCGATGCATAAATGAAGAGAAGAGATCTTTGCTAGTTACAGTGCAATAGAATGTAAATATCTTTGTGAAAAAAATAAATAAATAGATAAATAAATAAATAAAAACAATATTCAGTGTAAATATATCCTCTTTTATCAGACGCCTGTTCTTTGAGACCATGCCAAAATGGAGGAAACTGCACGGTTGACGACAGTAGCAGCTACATCTGTGCATGTCCTTTTGGAATAGGAGGCCAGAACTGTACCGAAGGTATCAGTTATTGTTCTTGAAATATATTTAACCATTCAACTTACGTAAGTACGTTAGTACGTTAAGTAGAACATTGAAACTTCGTTTTTAACGAAAACGATTTTAGGCAGTATGTATAGCGAAATATCTTACGGTACGTTTAGCTGGAGCTCATCATTTAATTGTCCCCAATAGACTTAGTGAATGATTGTGATTCATCACCTTGCATACATGGTGGGACTTGTACAGACGGTCTCGGAAGGTTTGATTGTGAGTGTCCACAGGATTATGCTGGTCGCCAGTGTGAATTAGGTAAGGCAAATTACGCTTTTTATCTTGTAACTAAAACTCAAGGTCAAGGGCATGAGTTAAAAATGACGTTACTTCGCAGAAATGGCCATTTACTTTGTTTTACTCGACCCTATAATATATTAATTAAAGCAAAGTCAAAAGCAAAGTGCTCGTGGGATCTTTGAAGAAATGTCTGTCTGGAGTCAATAACTAAAAACTCATTCGTCATAAAAAGAAGCAAACTGAAGCTTTCCTGGAAAACAATGGACTTGAGTTAGTAATCAATTGAAATCCAATAACTAGTCAGCATCTCATTATAGAAATTACACCCGTAAGCCCACTACTCATGACTATGCAGGCGAGTTACACTGGTCAGCGGATACGATATTTAAACAGTTGTCAGTTGACCATAACATGGATATCCATTATCAAGGTAAACACATTTTTTACTTATATGTCTAGCTCGAAAGTGTGACATTTCACATCCGCTAACATATTGGGCTTACGGATGGGCGATTTTGTCGCAACCAAGATTTGTTGGTTGCGTAGATGACAAAATTTTATTGCAGGTGGTGTTCCACTACGCATGCGAATGGTATTAACTACTTTACTTCACTTTTGTATTAATAGCTTGTGTTTCACAAACATTTAACCTGGTGTTCGTCGTTGACGGATCAGGAAGCATAGAGGACCAAGAAAAAGGAAACTTTCAGCGTGCAAAAGACTTCATTATTGAAATAGTAAAGTCTTTTAACATCGAAGAAGACGCAACACAAGTAGCACTAGTACTTTACAATAGTAACCCGGACGTTGTCTTTGAATTCAAAGACAACTTTGATGACATAGAGGAAGAGATCCAAGAAATGGATTACCCAGGCGGAGGTACCAATACAGGCAAAGCACTAGACAAAGTACGCAATTATGTCTTTAAAAAATTGAAGAAAGATCGCGAAGACCTTCCAAAGGTCGTTGTGGTAGTGACTGACGGACGTTCTCAAGATAACGTATCAGTACCCGCTCAGCAGCTTCGCAATGATGGTGCAACTATTATTAGTCTTGGGGTTGGTTGCTGCTTTGACGAGGATGAACTTAACGAAATGGCTACTGATCCCGATGAAAAGCACGTTTTAGAAGCAAGTTTCTCAGAATTGGATAAATTCAAAGATGCAATGAAGGAACAGATTTGCGCTGGTGAGTGACCTGCCAGAATACCTTGGATTCTACTATGTATTTAACACTGGACTCTTAATTCTTGTCATCTTTATCAACAACGCTAACTAAAGGCCATCATCATTAATATCATTATTATCGTCATCGTTGTCGTCATTATTGTCATCATCATTATCATCATCGTCATCATCATCATCATCATCATTATCATCATCATCGTCATCATTAAGAGTATAAGAAGAGATACGGTGGAAGAGGCAGTCGTTCACGAGGCATCGCAGCTTTTAATGACGTTTTTTTCGTTATTTACTGCTATGTAATTTCTTCAACCTCGTCCCCAGGGCTTTATCCACCCTTTTTTTAAGGGAAAAGCCCTGGGGACGAGGTTGTAATTTCTTTTTACTTGTTATTTTCAGCGGCTGACTTTTTTTCTAGTATCGTTGTCGTCATTATTGTCATCATCATCATCATCATCATCATCATCATCATCATCATAATACATCATCATTATCCTCATCATCGTCATCATTAAGAGCATAAGAAGAGATAAGGTGGAAGCGGCAGTCACGAGGCATCGCAGCTTTTAATGACGTTTTGTTTCCTTGTGTACTGATATGGAAGTCCTTTTTACTTGTTATTTTTAGCGGTTGACTTTTGTTCCAGTAACCCTTGCCTGAATAACGGAACATGCACCAGTTTAACAAGTGATTTCAAATGTCAGTGTTCACCTGGTTGGCAAGGAAATGACTGCAGCAAGGGTTGGTATAACATGTCTTTAAAGTGTATATGACAGAAATTTTTTTATTTGCTTGATAGAATCTATACAGTGTTTTGATAAGGAAAGCAAAAAAATTTTTTCGATAGCGATTTTTCTTCCCTGTGTTTTAACCTGCCAAAAACGTGAAATTTTACTTCCGGTGAGCTACAAAACCGCGCTAGCGAAAACAGAAGACTGGAAATGATTATGACGTCATTTCAGGACATTCTATTTCGCGGCAGGCAAATTACCTGGTCATTTTCTTATTTGTGTGGCAGTGTTTGGAGAATGTTTTTTGAGTTTCCCTGTCCTTTTTTTATCAGAAACAGCAGAAATCAATAAAAAGTCGCTTAAGCCCGAATTTAATTGACTGTGAAAAAGAATAATGATCCGTGTCCACCTTACAGGATTAATCTGCCCTTTTACTCTGCTATTTATTTGTGTTTGTTCTTTTCGATATCGATGAGTGTGCAATTAACACCACTCAGTGCGGGGATAACCAAGTTTGTCATAACTTCCTCGGTGGATTTACATGGCTAGGTCGGTTAGCGGTCACCTAGCGGAATGGCCGCGAATTTTGAACCACCGCGTTAAAAAGATAATAATTTTAAGTCTGTTCTCTATTTTTTCCCCATTTTAATTAACAAGTGGGAGAGGGAAAGGGAAACAGCAGAGATATATTCCAGAAAAAAACAAACAAACAACAACAAAAAAAACTTTTAAACATTTGTAGAAGAGCCGCTGGCACAACTGAGCGAATGGCTAAAGCAAATTATTCTCGAAAGGAACGCGAACTTTAAAGCTAATGCCCACCTGAATAAAACAGCCTTAGATAATATCCAGTCAATTTAAAATCCTCAACGGTAGCTTCCAAGACCTCAATGGTGTGCCTCCCGACGCTAGATGGAAAGCTACGTTGACATAGGCAGCTTGCAAATCTCGGGTTACTATATAATAACTGACAGTCGCTCGTTTTCAACAGCCGACAATATGTTGTATAGACCACAATTTTTCTACCTATGTGACTTCAAATACAGGTGGTAGCATTGCTCTAGAAATAGCTGATCATCTACCGGTGAAAAGACAACTCAAAATTGTTTAACGAAAAGAACACTTTGTTACTATCATCTTGCTCAGTATTTATCACTGCCACCCCGACCCGTATGTTTTGTATTTAGAGCGGTTTTCATTTGAGTGTCGAAAAGTAATTGGTTTTGCACTTTCTACACGATGCGATTGGCTTAAAAGATTCGCGCCACCTTTTCATCCAATCAGAAGTAAAACCAAAGCCAATTGTGACGCGCTCGCACGATTTTCCCGCGCTTTGCGTCAGCCACATGTAATTACTTCGAGTTTTGATTGGTTCAATGTATTGTCTGTGTCCTATGTGATTGGCCAGAGTAATTACTTTGGTTTTGGTTTTACGACACTCAAACGAAAACCACTCTATTATATCTATTAATTTTATATTTTTCCCTTTTTTCTTTTATTCTATATAACACTGTAGTTTAATTAAAGGGTATGTCTGATTTTGGCAGCTGTCAATTCATCTTTATACGGATGCCATACATTTCTGACAGGATAAATAAAGTAATGTCATTTTATGCAAGATCTAATGTGGCAATTGGCATCGGCTTACATGTAATGTGTGAGTGGGCGGGCAGGCGAACGCTACGTCAGAACCAAATTTTCTTGCGTCCATACTGCGCCTGACTTTAACCATCTGTTTTCCGTCTCAGACGATAATGATGACGATGGTGGTGTTTCAGGTTCAGGCTCAGACTCAGGCTCGCGGTCAGACTCAGGCTCAGGCTCAGGATCAGGATCACACTCAGGCTCAGGCTCCGACTCAGGGTCAGGTTCAGGGTCAGACTCAGGGTCAGGGTCAGACTCAGGCTCAGGGTCAGGGTCAGACTCAGGGTCAGGTTCAGGTTCAGGGTCAGACTCAGGGTCAGGGTCAGACTCAGGGTCAGGGTCAGACTCAGGCTCAGGGTCAGGGTCAGACTCAGGGTCAGGTTCAGGGTCAGACTCAGGGTCAGGGTCAGGGTCAGACTCAGGCTCAGGGTCAGACTCAGGATCAGGCGATGGCTCAGACGATGGCTCAGGCGAAGGCTCAGGCGATGGCAATGGCGATGGCTCAGGCGATGACGATGCTGATGGTAATGGTGATGATACTGATGAAGATGATCCATGGCTGCGCGGAGATACAAAATTTCTCCTCGAGTGTTTCAACACGGGAAGAGAAACGTCATATTTCCAAGCGGCCATGTAATGTCTTGTTTATTATATCAACAACAATGAAATGCCTAACTATTTTATTTTTGAACAGTTTTTGGCTGCATAAGGAGCGGATTTTTATGTAGCCGTAGCAACTGTGATCTTTTCACATCTGAGAATAACATGTTATTTTCACATGTGAAGATATCATGTTTTCGCGCGAAAGCTCACCTGGTATTTCATTTGTGTTTATATAATAAGAATTTGTATTATATTCCTTTAGTTTTATTTCTTGTGCTAGCTCTTCGCCGTCAAAGCAAATTCCCAAAGTTGAAGACTCTCTTCATTGGCTTCTCCACGAGTCTTAAACGATTCTGATTTTTTTTTGATAGATATTTTTTGGAATAATGATGTCTCACCTGCATATCAGATTTATTGTTAGTCCTTCGCAAAATGCAAGAGAGAGCAATCTCTTATTTAGGAGTATCTTACTTTTTTTTACAGTGAAATTACCATGTGATGATAGCCCTTGTAAAAACAACGGAACATGTCACCGTAATTCTGATAACTACACCTGTGAATGTCTACCAGGTTTTATGGGGGAACAGTGTCAAGGTACCTTAGTGTTTTTTTATATGAAACTTAAAAAAGTACATGGTTCCTGGATGTTTAACAATGATGTCACTCTACAGTAGACCTGTTTAGCTTGCATGTTTTGTTTTCCCCATAGGCCATTTGCAAGATGGCGTCATTATTCTACTTCAGGGTTTTCCTTTCTTGTTCTTTTGCTATTTGAAACCACTAGGGTTAGTAAGTTAAATTGTTATATAGCTGGACATTTTTTCTCAACAGCGCACGCACTCATTGGTTACCTCGAGGTCACATGACATCTAACAATGAAACTATTTCCCGCCAAAATATCTAAGCAGGCAACATTGCAAAATCTATGACGTTATAGGGTAGCAGTGCACAGTTACCCAGGGATGTTGACCGAAGACCTCCGGTAAAGCGAGGTGTAATGAATTTTCAGCTTCAAAATTTCCAGCTGTATAACAAATCACTTAAAGGCTGTCCCTCGGGAAACTGTTAATTTTATTTCCCTTAGAACCAGTCATTGAGTGTTTAATATGAAAGAAAAACTAAATGAATTCTGGTCTAAGTAGTAAAAAGATGTCATCGTGCAAATGTCCTATAGACGTCCCAGGGGAACTGATCCTTTGACTTTTCGTGAATTATTAGATATGCACTTAAATAAGACGAAATTTGAAAGAAACAGTTCTCTAGAGTATTACTTTGTATCGCATGACTTGTTTTGTAAAAAAACAAAAATACGAGCTGAAGTGGTTAATTGATTTTCGGGCAATTTTGAGCAATTCTGACTTTTGTTCAATCTGGACATTTCTCTTTTTCAGTGATAAATCATTGCTACGATGAGCCATGTAAAAACAATGGGTCTTGTGTCAGCAATGGGGATTCTTACCAGTGCACGTGTCCCGCCACATTTACTGGGCCAAACTGTGAAGGTAAACGTACAAGTCTATGCTTAAACCTTTTATCGGAACTCTTCACTCCTCATCAGAACCTATCCGATACGTGATGAACCATTTCCGAGATCGGCGTGGTGCAGCTTCTCTCCGTTACAGAAATCGCACCGAAATCACCGTTGTTATGGAGCTTTAGCAACGACAACGGCGACGGCAACGGCAACGAGAACGCCAAAAAAGCAATTGGTTTGTTAAGCAAAACAACAATTTTGCACGTGCTTCACATTTGCGGATTTTGTAAATTTCTTTGCCGTCACTGCACGACTACCACATGAAAATGCCTGATTTCACGCTTTATGGTGGACGTAACCAAGCGACGACGAATTTTTCTTTCTTTTTCCAAACTTGGGTGCGGTCCCCAAGAAATCAACTCTAGGAAAATTCGCCTACATTTGTTGTTTTCAGCAGATGGAAATAAACGCGACAATGTTTGAAAAAAGGCGAATGCCTTATCAAAGTTACGTTTTCGCTACCGCAACCGTCGCCGTCGTCGACTCTAAAGGTGATGCTACACGAGACGATTCGTAACGACGATTTTTAGTGTAACAAGCGTTGCAATGTTGGAACAATGTTGCAGCCGTTCGAAACAACGTCGCAACAATGTGTAATGCTGTGTTGCGCTAAAAAACGTCGTTGCGAATCGTCTCGTGTAACATCACCTTAAAGCTGCCCGTTATAGATGAACAGAAGCCCTATCTGATAAGGTTTTTGCGCCTGCGCAAAGCTAACCGGTATAGCGTGAATGAACATACCGTAATATTCCGAAAATAAGCTCCTCCATGTATAAGCCCCTCCAAATATAAGCCCTTAAAACCGGTGACGCAAAAAACCCTCCGATAAATCGGCCCTCCAAATATAAGGCCCCCAGGGGCTTGAACTTGGAAAAATGCCCTCAAATACAAAGTAAAACAACACAAAAACGGTAATTTACTTCTAACTATAAGCCTAGCCCAATCGATTTGTAAACGCAAATTTCCCTCCGAATATAAGCCCCTCAAATAGGGCCTTTGAAAAATATAAGCCCCGGGGCTTATTTTCTGAAATTTACGGTAGCCTTACAATGCATATTCACCTCATTGACTAATATAGCAGATTGATTGATGCCTCGCATGATTAATTTGTTAGCTGTGGACTGCCTTTGAAAATGCTTTGTTCCCCTTTTTTTTTCAGTGAAGTTACTCTGTTCTGGTAACCCTTGCAAAAACAACGGAACATGCGATGAGCATTTTGATAATTACACTTGTGACTGTCTACCAGGTTTTACGGGAGATCAGTGTCAAGGTAAGGATCAGTGTCTCCCTTGTGAAATATCATAAGATTTTATCAGGTCGGGGATATTGACTGTACTGTGGCACTATACTTGTTTTTGTTTATTGTTTTTGTTTTGTTTCTTTTTTTTCCCCACAATTTTAAGCTATTCTTACATTTCTTACGTTTGGGAAAACCTCTTCTTCAGGGAGAGATCACTGCTACGATGAGCCATGTAAAAACAATGGATCTTGTGTCAACTCTGAAGATGGATACCAGTGCATCTGTTCAGAAAAGTTTACAGGAGCAAGATGTGAAGGTAAATTTAACGACGCATTTTTACCTCGTTACTTAACTGTTATGAAGCTTGTTGGACATGTTTGGTTAGGATTCACTTTAAAATCGATGATTTTCTTTTTTTTTCTTTTACTAAACAGTAATGTCACACTGCTACGATGACCCTTGCAAAAACAACGGAACATGTCGCGATCATTCTGTTAACTACACGTGTGAATGTCTACCAGGTTTCATGGGAGAGTTGTGTCAAGGTAAACATTCAGGAAATTATTCTCTACAAACTCATGAAACTTCAGGCCTAGAATCACTCTATACATGTTTAATCAACAATTTAACGGGAAGTGCTGACTATATTTATGTCTGGAGATATTTATTTCAGTTATAGATCATTGCTACGATGAGCCATGCCTAAACAATGGATCTTGTGCCAGTTCTGAGAGCGGTTACAAATGCACATGTCCCGCAGCTTCTACTGGACCAAATTGTGAAGGTGAATGCTAGAAATGAACTAAGACCCCTTTCACACTAAGGCGTTTTCGTTTTAAAATGTATACAATTCGATGCGCTTAGGCCTTCCGTCCACACTAATGCGCCGAGCGTTTTCATCATCATACAAGCTGAAGAGGTTAATTGATTTTCGGGCAATTTTGAGCAATTCTGACTTTTCTTCTACCTGGACATTTCTCTTTTTCAGTGATAAATCATTGCTACGATGACCCATGTAAAAACAATGGTTCTTGTGTCATCAATGGGGATTCTTACCAGTGCACGTGTCCCGCCACTTTTACTGGGCCAAACTGTGAAGGTAAACATACAAGTCTATGCTTAAACTCTTTATCGGAACTCTTCACTCTTCATCAGAACCTATTCGATACGTGATGAACCATTTCCGAGATCGGCGTGGTGCAGCTTCACTCCGTTACAGAAATCGCACCGAAATCACCGTTGTTAGGACGACAACGGCGACGGCAACGGCAACGAGAACGCAAAAAAAGCAATTGGTTTGTTAAGCAAAACAACAATTTTGCACGTGCATCACATTTGCGGATTTTGTACATTTCTTTGCCGTCACTGCACGACTACCACATGAAAATGCCTGATTTCACGCTTTATGGAGGACGTAACCAAGCGACGACGAATTTTTCTTTCTTTTTCCAAACTTGGGTGCGGTCCCAAAGAAATCAACTCTAGGAAAATTCGCCTACATTTGACATTTTCAGCAGATGGGAATAAACGCGACAATGTTTGAAAAAAGGCGAATGCCTTATCAAAGTTACGTTTTCGCTACCGTCGCCGTCGCCGTCGCCGTTGTCGTTGCTGTCGCCGTCGCCGTCGCCGTCGTCGACTCTAAAGGTGATGTTACACGAGACGATTCGCAACGACGATTTTTAGCGTAACAAGCGATGCAATGTTGGAACAATGTTCAAGCCGTAAACGGTTTGAACCCAGGAGTCATTTCAAAAGTAGGTTGAGTTTGATCGTCCGGGTGAACGTAGTCCTGAATAGAACTGTTGTTGTTGACAGTGACTGACGTTTCGACAACCTGTGCGGTAGTCATCTTCAGAGTCAAAGTGAGTCTTTGATCCTGAAGATGACTACCGCACAGGTTGTTGAAACGTCAGTCACTGTCAACAACAACAGTCCTATTCAGGACTACGTTCACCCGGACGATCAAACTCAACCTACTTTTGAAATGTTACAGCCGTTCGAAACAACGTCGCAACAATGTTGTAACGCTGTGTTGCGCTAAAACTCGTCGTTGCGGATCGTCTCGTGTAACATCACCTTAAAGCTGCCCGTTATAGATAAACAGAAGCCCTATCCGCAAAAGGTTTTTTGAGCCGGCGCAAAGCTAACCGGTATAGCGTCAATAAACATACCGTAAAATTCGGAAAATAAGCCCCTCCATGTATAAGCCCCTCCAAATATAAGCCCTTCAAACCGGTGACGCAAAAAACCCTCCGTTAAATCGGTCCTCCAAATATAAGCCCCCCAGGGGCTTGTACTTGGAAAATTGCCCTCAAATACAAAGTAAAACAGCACAAAAACGGTAATTTACTTCCAACTATAAGGCTAGCCCAATCGATTTGTAAGCGCAAATTTCCCTCCGTAGACTGCAAGCCCCTCCGAATATAAGCCTCTTCAAAAATAAGCCCCTCAAAAATGGCCTTTGAAAAATATAAGCCCCGGGGCTTATTTTCTGAATTTTACGGTAGCCTTACAGTGCATATTCACCTCATTGACTAATATAGCAGATTGTTTGATACCTCGGATGATTAATTTGTTAGCTGTGGACTGCCTTTAAAAATGCTTCGCTCCCCTTTTTTTTTTCAGTGAAGTTACACTGTTCTGACAACCCTTGCAAAAACAACGGAACATGCGATGAGCGTTTTAAAAATTACACTTGTGACTGTCTACCAGGTTTTACGGGAGATCAGTGTCAAGGTATGGATCAGTGTCTTCCTTTAGGAAATATCATAAGATTTCATCAGGTCTGGGATGTTGACTGTACTGTGGCACTATACTTGTTTTTGTTTTGTTTTTGTGTTTTTCCCCACAATTTTAAGCTATTCTTACATTTCTTACGTTTGGGAAAACCTCTTCTTCAGGGATAGATCACTGCTACGAGGAGCCATGTAAAAACAATGGATCTTGTGTCAACTCTGGAGATGGCTACCAGTGCATCTGTTCAGAAAAGTTTACTGGAGCAAGATGTGAAGGTAAATTTAACGACGCATTTTTACCTTGTTACTTAACTGTTATGAAGCTTAATTGTTGGGCATGTTTGGTTAGGATTCACTTTAAAATCGATGATTTTCTTTTCTTTTCTTTTACTAAACAGTAATGTCACACTGCTACGATGACCCTTGCAAAAACAACGGGACATGTCGCGATCATTCTGTTAACTACACGTGTGAATGTCTACCAGGTTTCATGGGAGAATTGTGTCAAGGTAAACATTCATGAAGTTATTCTCGACAAACTTATGAAACTTCATGAAAGTATATCAGGCCTAGAATCCCTCTATATATGTTCTTTGGCCAATTTAACGGGAAGTGCTGACTATATTTATGCCTGGAGATATTTATTTCAGTTGTAGATCATTGCTACGATGGGCCATGCCTAAACAATGGATCTTGTGTCAGTTCTGAGAGCGGTTACAAATGCACATGTCCCGCAGCTTCTACTGGACCAAATTGTGAAGGTGAATGCTAGAAATGAACTAAGGCCCCTTTCACACTAACGCGTTTTCGTTTAAAACGTATACATTTCGCTGCGCTTAGGCCTTCCGTTCACACTAATGCGCCGAGCGTTTTCAGCGAAAACGCTTTTGACAGTGGATCAAAACGAAAACGTACATATATCCTGTTGGTGTAGACGGTCGAAAACGCGTCAAAATAAAAACGACGACCAAAATATCGAATGCGCGTGTGTTTGATGCATGCACAAGGAGTTCAACTTGTGTTACAACGTGCATTTCTATCCCTTTTGAAAGTTTTAGTGTGGACAGTCGAAAAAGGAATCGAAACGTGGTGAAGACGCGAATTGATCGATGAGTTTTCGATGCCAACGAAAACGCATCATTTTAGAAACCCATTAGTGTCGACAGGGCCTAAATGTTTGTAAGTGAATGATGCTATAAGGGTGCGCGAGTCATATGTTCATAGGTAACTTCCTTAATTTTTGGACTAAATACCTTTACCTTTGTTTCACAGTCAAGTCACACTGTTATGACAATCCGTGTAAAAATAATGGAACATGTCGCGATTATCCTGGTAACTACACGTGTGAATGTCTTCCTGGATTTATGGGAGAAAATTGTCAAGGTAAAATTATCGTGAACTTGCTTTTTCTGATATATTTAACCTGATGTCAACTTATCTTGTTTCGCTGACAACTTGAAGAAATTCAAACTCTCCTTATGTCTCGAGATATTTAATTTTCTTTAGTGATAGATCATTGCTACGATGAGCCATGCAAAAACAATGGATCTTGTGTCAACACTGGAAATGCTTACCAGTGTACCTGTCCTGCAGCATTTACCGGACCAAATTGTGAAGGTAAATATTTGAATTTATTATATAAACACCAATGAAATACCAGGTGAGCTTTCGCGCGAAAACTTGATATCTTCACATGTGAAAATAACATGTTATCTTCACTTCTCGTGTTGAAAAAATATTTCACGAGTGAGCGCAGCGAACAAGTGAAATATTTTTCAACACTCGAAGAGAAATTTCGTATCTCCGCGCGGCCATGTAATATCCTCTATGTATATATTCATCTTATTGACTAAAATGGAGCAGATTGATGCCGCGACTGTTTAATTTGTTAGCCGCGAACGCCCTTTAAAAATCATTTTTTTCCCTATTTTTCAGTGAAGTTACTCTGTTCCGATAACCCTTGCAATAATAACGGAACATGTAACGATCACTTTGATAACTACACTTGTGTCTGTCTACCTGGTTTTACGGGAGATCAGTGCCAAGGTAAAATTTTGATAAACTTACTTTTCTTAATGAATATCACAGCAGTATATAAAGCGTTGATGCGTCATACATGTACGTGTTTTATCCGACAATTTTGAGCTCTTCTGACGTTTCTTGCGTTTGGAAATACCTCCTTTTCAGGGATTGATCACTGCTTCGATAAGCCATGTAAAAACAACGGGTCGTGCGTCAACTCTAAAGATGGTTACCAGTGCACGTGTTCTGCAGAGTTTACTGGAGCAGATTGTGAAGGTGAATTGTACATTTTTACCTTGTTAAATATAATAAAGCATGTTAAATCCTAGTCAGTTGCAAATCACTTTGAAATCGATGTTTTTTATCTTTTTGTTTTTGTTTTCTTTTATAGTGAGGTTACACTGCTACGATAATCCTTGCAAAAACAACGGGACATGTCACAATCGTTCCAATAACTACACGTGTGAATGTCGACCAGGTTTCATGGGAGAAGTGTGTCAAGGTAAAATTTCATGACGCTTTTCTAACATATGAAACTTTACAAACGTATATTGGGCCTAGAGTCACTTTATACTTGTTTTACGGACAACTTCGGGAAATTCTGGCCATACTTATGTCTCGACATATTTACATGTATTTCAGTGATAGATCATTGCTACGACGAGCCATGCTTAAACAATGGATCTTGCGTCAACTCTGACAATGGTTACCAGTGCATCTGTCCTACAGTATCTGCTGGACCAAATTGTGAAGGTGAATGTTACATAGATTTCCATCTTCTTGTTTACTAAAGGTGGTGTTACACGGGACGATTCGCAACGACGATTTTTAGCGCAATGTTGGAACGTAAATTTTACGCACGTAAACACGTAAAAATTACGCGACACTGGAAATCAACCCTTAAGGTGATGTTACACAAGACGATCCGCAACGACGATTTTGAGTGCAACACTGCATAGCAGCAAAACAATGTTGCAACAATGTTGTAATGCTGCGTTGCAGACGCAGGTTGAAAATTCCTTAAGCAGATTAGAACTGTCCGAAACAATTCTTATGGATAAATTAGTGTATAGAGGTAGCGAGCCTTATTTTAAGCAGTTAGAAAAGGAAAAACTTGGTCGTGAGGTAGAAATTTCCGTTTGCCGTAAACGTGACCCTAAATCTCTTTAATATGGAGCACGTCATATGTTCAGTTTAGCCATTAGCACTGGATGCTTTCCAGAAAAAAAAAATGCATGTAGTTCAGTGGTTCAAAACGTACCCATCAAATCGCTCTCAGAGCACGCATGTCAATGGAACTCTGTCAGACAACCTTCCTTCCAGCCGTGGGGTCCCACAAGGATCTTTACTTGAACCCATTTTGTTTCTCATTTATATAAATGACCTTCAAGTATGGGAGGTATCGTCATCTGTACTTATTTATGCTGATCATACCTCCCTTACTCTCTACGCTAATGACCCCACAACTATAAGGAAAAAAATAAATGAAGACTTGATGAGGTTCAAACGTGGCTGATATTTAGCTTTGATTAAGGCTTGATTGATTGATTGATTGATTGATTTTGATTGACACAGTTGTGCTTTCTTTCTTCAGACATCTGTTCATTGAGGCCTTGCCAAAATGGAGGAAACTGTTCGGTTGACGATAGTAACAGCTACATTTGTGAATGCCCCTCGGGAATCGGGGGCCAAAACTGTACCGAAGGTACCAATTAATTTTCTTAAAAAAAAAAAGAACAAACAAACTTTCCATACAAGCGTTATTCGACTTAGTTTAATACAATGAATGAACTCTGCACAGCCATACGATTTGCACCACCGTACAAGAAATTGGAACAATATCTAACCTCAAACCAAAGAAAATTCTCAATTCTTCAACTATAACTTTGTTTTACCTAGTATGTTTCTTTTCATACCAATTACCCCAACAGACTTAGTGAACGAGTGTGATTCAGCACCTTGCATACATGGTGGGAATTGTACCGACGGTCTCGGAAGGTTTGATTGTGAGTGTCCACAGGATTACGCTGGTCGCCAGTGTGAATTAGGTAAGGCAAATTACGCTTTTTACCTGGGTGGCAAAAAGTCAAGATTATCGCCACGACTTACGTTACTCTGCAGCAATGCCCATATACTTTGCTTTTCTCGACCTCATAGCATATTGATTTAGCCTAGGCTTAAAGCAAAGCTCTCATGGGATCTTTTACGAAAGATCCCACTGGATTTGACAGCGACAATTGATCATAATATGGATCTCAATTATCAAGTTCAACACAGATTATATATGCCTTAGATTTCAAACTAGTAAGTGTGATATTTCGCACCCGCTAACCTAGAGGTGCAACGTACGAACGGGCGATCTTGTCACAACCAAAATTTGTTAGATGCATTGCACGAGAGACCGTCGACATTCAACGAAT